CCGGCCGCAAATAATTAATTTACTCTTGCACTCGCGCTGGCATCATGAATCAATCGCCGCGCGCTCCCTCGCGTTATGGTTTTTGCAACGACCGCCGATAAGCGTGATTACACTTAATAGCACGCTTTGCCTCTCTGGACTTTTCAGCAAGCCGTAAACGTTCATCGACAGATCCCAGCTTGCCTCGGGGTATACACATCCGCACCCACACACACACACACACACACACGCGCGCGCGCGGGCGCACACGCATACGGAAGAGCCGCGCGGCAATTCCAAATGTGACATTTCAAAACACGTAATGCGTCTTCATCATGCGTATGCTCACGGGGAGAATAAGCGTATAGTCATCGCGGAATGCTCGGCAAAGAGGCGCGATTGCGTCACAGCGCAACTCACATTGCGCGCTTCGCATCGCGGATTTTCACGCGGCAGAAGTCCACGCGCGAGGAAATCTCGCGCTTCGATTCCGCCGCGTCGCTTCGCCGCACGGGATGTTACACTAATCGAGCTGACTCAACGGGGCTTCGTCATGCGATTTGCGAAGGAGGATCGACGCGTAATAAAGAGAATACCATATATATCTCTCCTCGCGCGATCTGTTTTGCGAGCAGATACGAACATGAGCGACGGCGCGCCGGTTTCTTGTTAATTTCGCGACGTAATAAGCGGGAAGGAGAGAAAGATAGATAAGCGCGTTTATCATCGCTCGACGGTTGACTCTCCAAGAGCGAGAGCGGTGGGGGGAGAAATTACAGATCACCGAGTAGAAAAATATTTCCGAAGAAAAGGGGAAAGTTGAGGGGGGTTGCCGATATTGAACCGGCTCTTAAAATTCTTCTACCATCTTTATATTTCATAGGATCCGAAGTCCTAGCGCCATCTGCATGTTACGCGAAAGTCATCTATCACCAGTTAATAGAGGAAAGTGAGTGCTTATAGACGAAAGCGTCTTGCTAAAAAAAGCAAATAAAGGTTTTTTAGTTTTAGAAGTAAGTTTCATCCACTTTTACATGAGGCGTTTCGAAAACTTGAAAGGATAAATTTAGCTGCTTGTCGTTTTTATGCTAATTATGCATTAAAATTGACATATCTGCATGATTTGGGCATAATCTTGATCTGTATGCATATTTTGCCGCCATAATTTGAAAAATATGACTAGACTAGACATTTGTGACTGTTATTCCTAACATCTATAGAAAGCAGTTTATTTTTCTTTTTTGCGTTGCAAATATTTATATTTCGTTTTAATTGAAAGACAAACATTTGTTTAATGGTTGTTTATTTCTTAACGAGAATTTTAAAAACGGAAATACTTCATTTCTGTAATTTTAATTTCGAGGATGTGATAGATAAATTCTGCAATTTTTAGTTACGTAATCAAGAATGATTTTATGAATATAAAAAATCAACTTTCATGTAAAATAAATTTTATATAAAAATAGATATAACGTTAATAATTATTTTAAGTAACTTTAATGTTTATTTTTATTATTAATTAAACTTTTTTTTTTCATGCAAGCTGTGACTTTAATTAATTTCTTAATTAGATTTCCAGAAACAAAAATATTATATTTTTATAACTTTCATGTTTATTTTTTTAATTAAAAATATTTTTCTTATTTTTCATACAAACTGTAATTTCAATTTATTTAAATGGTTTATATTTCATAATTATCCCCTTATAGCTTTTCAACTAATCAAATCTATACGATAAAGAAAAGACAACTTTAGAAAAACCAGTTGTCAAAATTGCACCACTTGTACCACTTGCAGAAGTTTTAAAAGAGACGTATCCGCAAGAAATGTTGTTATGTAAAAAGTCTCAAAAAGTTATAAAATCTTACAAACAAATAAAAAATAACTTTCAATTCTTCCAAGTCTTTATCTCATTTTTATCAAATATTTAAATATAAGTGCAAATTATGAAAAAAAAAATTGGAAGCTGATCCAATATAAGCAATTTTTCTCTATATGACAATTCAAACGACGAGAATAAAAATACGGAACTTTGTTCCCGGTTAAGCAAAATTCTGGTATCTTCAATTGAAATTTCTCAACCGCTCATATTTTGTGCCAGAAATGATTCATCCAACCAAACATTTTTTTTCGTTTATAATGTTATTAATTTATCTTACACTTGAAAGCTTATTCATAGAGTTTCATAAATTTATGAGAGAGAGGAAGAGAGAGAGAGAGAGAGAGAGAGAGAGACAGACACTCAACGTTTAACTCGACAGGAGTGTTTCCGCGTGACCACGGCAAGGTTGCTCGTCAAAATGAATAGCTGCAAACAAGTGGTCGAAAAAAGAATGGAATGTCACCAACGCGTCTATTCCCACAATGTCACGGCCCAAATATAGGCATGCCATCATATTGCTCGACCTTTGGAGCTGTTATTACTCATATCATTGTGAATCGGCCGGGCTATCAATGTCGATACAGAGCGAAGACAACAGTTTGGTTTCGCGACAAAAGCGAGTGATTATTAGGTATCAGCTCCCCCCGGCCCCCTCTCTCTCTCTCTCTCTCTCTCTCTCTCCAATTCTCGTCGAATGTCGTACTTGCGTTTCTCGCAAAGCCCTCATCGTGCGTTCGCTCGCGCGGCGCTTTCGGCGGAAAGGTCTCTCCGTTCGACGACGTGTCGATGATGCATCGATCGCGTCTTCGGTTTCCTTGCGAAATCGCAAGCCTCGGAGAGCCGACGAGCGAGCGGCGAGCGGCGAGGCGACTGCGAGCCGAGCGGCCGCTGTAGAGATTGTTCGCGGAGAATTCCGCTCGCGCGGTTACTCGACTCCCGCCTTTCATACACGTTCATGTGCGCGCATACGACGACGGCGGATGAATGTTTGCCTCGGCTATCAGTGTCAACAGAACCGGCTGGCACTTTCCAGCCGCGCTCGCAGGGGAGACGAGCGAGCGAGTCGATAATAATACGGCTCCGATTTCACCTGGTCCGCTAGTCTCTCCCGCAGATCCTCGCGGGGCTCTTTCGGTGCGCTCACCGTATTTCCGGTGCAATTCCGCGCTTCCTGCCGCCAACGACAATGCCCCTTCGAACAGTATCGGCAGCTTCCCCGCGCTCCACCTGCGCTTCCCAAGCTGGCCTAAGCGTTGCTTTCCGCGGCGCTGCGAGCCGATCATCGCTGGAATTCCGCCGCTCGCAGCCGATCGCCGATCGCCGATCGCTGGTCGACGCTGCTGAAGACGAAGGCTGAATATGGCTGAATCCGCTCTTCATCCTCGCTCTTCATCCTCGTGTCTCACGTAGAGCGCGCTTCCGCATCGTACATTTTCTCGCAGTCGCCTCGGAGTTTATTCGTCCTCAGCTCGGAATTTTAGCGGCGTCGGGACGAGACCCGTCCGCCGCGCTGGATTTTACTCGCTCGCTTCATTGACGCGCAGCCTTGAATCGGCAGTGTCCTATATTGCCCGAAGATGCTTCCTGGTCAAAAACCCGGCCCCACTTTGGCGCAATCGCCGTATTTCCGGTGCGATCGCGCGCTTCCTGCGCCGCATTGACGGCTCCACGGGCGGCCGCTCTTTAATTACCGCAATATATCGCCGCCGCGTCGACATTTTCTTTTTTCAGCCGATGATTCTCGGCTCGTGACGTCATCATTCACGATAATCTAAATTCATCACCAGCCTTCCGCAAAATACTCAAGGCTGTCGTTCCGCGTCGCTATCTCCGCTCGTCACGAGCCCGAAATCTCGCGTCTGCTCATTATTATTCTCCGCTAATTCGCCAAACGAACACAACGCGAAAGATTCGGAAACGGCGACACCGAGAGAGAAGGAGAGAAAGAGAGCGAGAGAGAGAGAGAGAGCGAGAGAGCGAGAGAGAGAGAGAGAGAGAGAGAGAGAGAGAGAGAGAGAGAAATCACTAGCAAGAATTGCAAATCTCCCGGAGCAGCACGAAATGGCATTAAATTCGAGGCGCTGCTTATCGTCGCGTACGTGTCACTTAAAAACATTCCGCGAGAAGTATCTCCTCAACGACACTGGGTGCACTCTGGGTTAAAAGGCTCGGGTTAAGTTCCACGTATCCTGCCAGTTTTATGCGCGCGATTGCATCCTTCGCGCGCCAAGAGCGCGATAATCCGGCCGTTTAGACCGGCGTTTCGTTTCTCCCTCTCCTACTTTTACGCGCGACGCGTGCGAAATCAATCTCTTTAGCATTGCTGCCGGCCGGACACTTTCAAGGTTCGGCTACAAAATTCTAAGAAAATTACAACTGATGTCCAATTGTAATCGAAGAGACGCCCACAAATTGTACAGGACGAGTAAATTAATGTATCATAATTTATTACGCGTATATCATAAATTACGAAATAAAATAAAAATACACGTAGATCAATAAGTTCCAGAAATTAAAGTAAAAATATAAAAGACATGAAATTATACACATATATAAAATAAATAAATTATAAATTAATATATGTATAAATGAATTATATATTATAGCAAATATTCCACGCAGCACACGAAACATACATCACAAATTACAGAATAAAATAAAAGTACATGTAGATCAATAAGTTCCAAAAATTAAAATTAAAATATAAAAGATATGAAATTATGCATATGCATAAGAAAAATAAATTATAAATTAATATATATATAGAAATTGATTTAATATTTGAAAATATTTAAAGGTTATATTTATTATTTACATTCAATATTATATTAATACTTAAAATTAATGTTATATATTTAGTATTTAAAAATTTATTTATATATTGATATATATATATATATATAAATCAATTATAAATCACACAGCAAATATTCTCTGGCGCAGACGGAATTGACGATCGAGTCGCAGCGAGTCGATGACTCTTCGCTTCCTGCGCTCGCGCGCGCGAATGCGACAAATTCTACTCCTACGCCCATGCGTGGCCGCACACGTACACGTGTACTTAGCTCCTGCTACATAAACGTGCCGGCCGACATAATACATATGCGATACGTGATAAGAGTTCTGTCAGTGGTCTTCGACTGGCAGCTGAATCAGTTGGGTGTCACCGTTCGCTCGCGATCCACCGTTCGTCGCGTAACCGGGCGCGCTGATTGCAGAGATCGAGAGAGAATGAGAATCTCGACCACACGGTCGACAGGACGAGACAACAGGATAATACCCCGCGCAGGAAGCACCGTCGATGGAGCGCAATTATCATCGGTACCTCGGTAAATACGCGAGACGAGAAAGGGGGGGCCGCGTGTCGTCGGAAGAAGCGCCGCTCCGAAACGCGAATTTTTTCGTCACGCTGCTAGTTCGCGCAATGGGATGCCCCGAGTCCTTGGAGGAGCAATTCCATGGGGGGCTGCCTAATCGCAATTTAATTCGCACGGTGTGTCTCGGGTATAATAACCACACCTGCCGTCGTCTTATCTGCGCAGATAAGACAAGCCGAGTCGAGACTTTGATCCACCGAGTAACTTCCGCTACGATCGACTAATAATTCACCTTTAGAAAACTGCCCGAGGTTACGTTGCGTTACGCGCAGGCTTGGAGCGTCGCAATCGTTTATTGCGACTTACTTCGACTTAATAACACTCGATAATTATATAATATTATTTTCAATTTAAACATTTCAACTTGAGACGCAGCGCCGCGGTGCGCCGCGTTCTATCGAGCCCGCATCTGCCTGGCGGCAAAAATTTAACAGAAAAAAAAAGAAGCATATCGAGGCACGTCATCGCACCGCGCATTCAGCGTGAATATCGACGAAACTACCGGAGTTCTCGTCGCTCGCAGAGATCGCTCGCGGGACGGAGCGACGGAGGAGCGGCGAAATCTAATCTCTCGCCACTGGGCGAGAGATTGATCGCGGGCCGGTTGGCAGATACGCATCCGATTCCCACGGGGTTAAGCAGTGTCATCCACGTACGCAGGGCGGTCGGCAGCGATGCGCTTACAACACGCCGCCGCATCTCGCCATTGTGAGCCGCGGCTCGTGCGAAAGGCGCTTATAATGCGGACGGACCGCGCGCGAGCGTGTATGCCGACGCGCTTTCGCGAGCTCGCTCGTGCGTCACGCTCGAGGAATTCGCGCTAAGTACGTGTGTTACAGCCGCGTTACACGCTGTACGCCACACCACCCGCCTCGGAAAACACTCGGCACCGGCACACCGGGGCCGGCTAAATACCCTAATCAAATCCGCCGCGCGCGCGCGGCGGCGGCTTCTTCCTTGGAGCGGCTCTCCGCGTTGCCGTCCGCTCGGCAACGTCCTCAGCTACGCATACCCGCGGTATCACGAGCGTATCTGTCAGCCTCGTAAACTTCGCGCGTCGTAAATCACCGCTTGGCGTATCGCTTCGGAGCCCGCCGACCTCCCTCCGCCGGGCATGATGAAGGTCCGTAAATAGAGAAACGGAAGAAAGTCGGGTCCTCTCATCCAGTTCACACGGTTTGACTAAAAAATGGCGGCGATCGTGGCTCAACTGATTAACCATATACCGTCAGGTCAAAAATTATTTTCGTTTTTTTGCAATTTTTTGTACTACAGTCGGCACTGTAATTGTTTTCCTTCTGAAAATTCTCACTGGTATTTTGGAATGTGTTTAATCCTTTAACGTCTTAAATGCGTTTCTGGTAACTATAGTTACCAGAAACGCATTTAAGAATCCATAACTTATTGTTAGTCAGAAAAGAGGATATTTTCGTTTTCTTTGCACCACTGTAAGAGTGAATTCTTCTTCTAAAAATGGTATATAGATTGTATGTAGATTCGGTTTAGTCTGTTTTTAGCTCAGTTTAATGATAACATGTTCTGTCAAATTCCAAGTAGGCATAGTTAGCATTGTTACTGACATCTAGAAGTGCGCTATAAATGAATGAAGATTGGTATCTGTTATAATTTTATACATTTGGAAGCTTTCTCAGGTGCCAAATGTGAAATTAAAAGAATACAAATATTCAAAATGGCGAATCAAATATGGTGGACACGAAAATCAAGAAATCAACCAATTTTCGTGAAACCTGGTGACCTACAGTTTTTTATGCGGCGAGAAATGAAGGGACGATTGACTATCTAAATGGTGATCTATAAGATATTCTTCTGAAATAGTAAGCTTGACGCTCTGAATGATAAACTTCACTCACAAATATATAGTAAAGTTTCAGCCCAAAAATGTCAAGCTGACTATCAGAGTCGTATAGATTACCCTTCATTTTCTCTGTATAGGTTGCTCATTTCGTACATGCTTTTAGGATCCAAGTCATATTTACCAATGAACAAAAAACGAACGATAAAAAAAACCAATCTAAAATTCTGATATTTTTTTGGTTATCACTATTTATAGTCTCAGTTAAAAAAAAACTCAAATTTTATTCTTATTAAAACACATGTAAAAAAGTCGGGCGTTAAAGGTTATACTATGTTTTGATTACTTCTGATTACATCTTAAACTATGTTTTGATTACTCTGTTCACTCTCACACAACTAAACCATAATACTACACGTACATAGTATCATGTACAACAGAGATTCTCTGGCTTCAAAATGGCGGCCGTGAGAGGACCTGACTGACTTCGTTCCGTTCCTCTATTTACGGACCTTCGGCACAATGAGAGACTAGTTGGCGCTTGTAAAATTATCAGGTCTAATGATTAATTCTTCCCGATGAAATTTACTTAGCTCGGAGGAAAATTTGAAATTGAAACATTCTCCCGCTCTTTTGCGGTTTTAAACTGTTGACATTTAACTTTTCGAAATGACATTTAGTTTGGCGTTTAATGCACATAACCTCAAATAGTCAATAGTATTCGCGATGGCTGTCAGTAAAGATTCGATGCACGATGCATTTTGCATTTCGCTTAAACAAAAACGCTTTTAAAACAGCCGAAATGATTTTAGCTGCTCATGGTGAAAATGTTTCCGAAGTAGTGATTTTGATTTTCACGACCCGGTCCGCCCCGGTCAGCCAAAAAATTTGAAGACGAGGAATTGTAAAATCTACTGAATGACAGTACGGCACAAACACAACAAGAGCTTGCAGAAAAGCTGGAAGTAAACCAGAAAGCTATTTGCGATCGTTTACATCGCGTGGGACAGATACAGAAAGAAGGGAAGTGGATTCCACTCGAGCTAACCATTGACAATAAAAATCACCGATTGACTACATGCGTTAGCTCGCCAGACAAGATTTGTTGCACAAAATCGTGACTAGTAACAAAAAATGGATTATTTATGAAAATTCTGCCCGCCAGACAACAACAAAAAAATGTTTTGTACAGAATCGTAACTGATGGCGAAAAATGGACCATGTATGAAAATCCTAAACGCAAAAGACCATGGGACCATGTAGACCCTGATCAACCGACAATATCGACAACAGAACCCAAACATTTCGAAAGAAAGTTCTTCTCTGTATATGGTGGGACTAGAAGGGTGTGCTGTACTATGAGCTCTTGAGACCAGGTAAAACCATTAGAGCAGATATTTATTAAGGACAATTGATACGTTTGAGCGATGCATTGAGAGAAAAGGCCATTTACTGAACAAGGCAGCCGTAAAGTGATCCTGCTGCAAAACAATGCGAAACCGCACACAGCAGGAGCCACAAAAGAAAGCACTTATACATGGGCTGGAAAGTTCTCCCACACGCGGCGTATTCTCCAGACTTGGCTTCATCAGATTTTCACTTCTTTCGGTCGATGCAACACGCATTGTCTGATACACATTTTCCGACAGTTGACGACGCACGAAATTTCATGGGTGACTTTATAGCCTCAAAACCACCAAGTCTCTATTGTGATGGGATTCAGCAGCTGCCCAATAAATGGCGAAAGGTCATTGATGACAACGGAGAATATTTCATTGATTAATCTTGTTCTATTGATTTTTAAATAAAAATCGAAAAAAATTAACTACTGGACCTTATATATAGCTATCTCTGTCGCCCCCCTAAGGAGAGGAAAATGAATGGCGGTGGGTGAATGCGGAAATTTTCCCGGCTTTCTCCAAGATACTGAGACTAATCGACTTGAGCGCAGCGCTCGTAAATGTGCGAATGTTGGAAGCATCGTACTTTTAACGACGGACTTGCTGCGATGAATGTATACATCGTTAACACTGTGATAATACTCGCTGTTGATATGGTCCTCCCGTCTATGATTCTCTCACTACGCGATTACGCTTACAAGTGTCGAGTACTTTTCTCTCTCTCTCTCTCTCTCTCAGTAGGACTCTCGTGAAGCGGCCACCGAGGACGCCTGACAGCGCAAATCTTGCGCGTCATTGAGCCGAGGTATCGCAAATTGCTGATACCGTAGGCCGATTACGCGCTACCATGGATCAGAAATTGACCGACGAGCTTAGCGCGGAATCTCGACTGTAATTGCGGATGACGTCTGGCTTCCACGGCGGCGGGAAATTCAGGAAGCCGCGGACATCCCGCGAGGTCCTTCGTGCCCCCCTCTCCCCACACGGGAGGGACTCTCGCGAACCTTCGTGGCGAAGACGTCGCGCGTACTCCACTTTCGAAAGAAGTCGCAGGCGGCGAGCCAGACGTGACATTTAAAATCCCGCGTATGCAAACGAATTCCGTCGGCTCGTGAAAGCGTGTCCTTTGATACGCGCGTCCTTGTTCCTCCAAGCGCGCGCGCGCGAATGAACGCGTCGCCTCGCACACCGGCGCGTGATTATTCAATGGGCGAGGACTCTCCTCCACTTGTTGACGATTTGCATCGCCGACGAGTACGCAGATCGACGCAGAGCGGCAATCGAATCGCACTCTGAATATTATTCGAATTTTATTCGAACGAACGGGAAAGATCACTCCCGAGCGTCGTTTTTCGCGCAAACATCCACATCCACATCATCCACATCCACATTATCCACATCTGTATCCACATCCACATAATCCACATTCATATCCACATCATCCACTTTCACATCCACATCCACATTCACATCATCCACACCCACTTTCGCATCCACATCATCCATATCCACACTCACTTTCGCATCCACATCATCCACATCCACATCCACACCCACATTCACATCCACATCCACAAACTCGAGTCTCGATTTTCGCGCATCGATTCCTCCGACCTTGGACTTTCCTGGCGAAACCTCCGCGTCAGCACGCTTCAGGGTTGCTCAAGATTCCAAAAAGATTTCTGCAAGAGTCGAATGCGAGCGGGAAAGAGGTAGAAACTCGCTCGACGCAGATATATTGCGCCGCAAATTGTGGCAGCTCTAACGTTCAGTCGGCTGGAAACGGAACTGCACGGAACGTCGCGCACGTGCAGGCGCGCATTAACCATCGTCCTGCACGTGCAGTCGCTTGCACGCAGCTGCCATAATTGACACTTCAAAGTTGCGTGTGCTTTTTTTCATCCCCTTTCCTTCTCCCGCGCCAGGCCCGGCGAATCGCATTCGCATTCGCGTACGCGTCGCGCGTCCTTCTAGAGGCTGGAAAAAATTTACGACGGCGACTATATGGCGCTGGCCGGTGACAATAACCGAGGACAATAATCCCGCCGAGTCACCAGCGGACCCGCAAGAAACAAGTTGCCACCTCGAGCCACAGTCGTCGCCGTCGCCGTTTGTGCACTTGCTCTTATTATCGCGCGTGAGATGCGCTTCGCTTCGCTCGTCTCTGCATTCGTCAACGAAATTCGGAGGAAATCAGAAAGTGGATTCGCAACGTCCCGAAAAAAAATGAAAACTCGAAGCCGCGACATGCGCAAACTGCAGGTTGTCGGAAATATCCTTCTTCAGAGGAGGAAAGTGAAACGAGTAATTTTCTTAGCAGCAGAATAACATTCCCCCTCCTGCGAATTTTTTCCCTACAGCAAAAAGTAGTTGAACGGATAGTGTATTGTTTCCGAGAAAGTCCTTCCTCCATTTCGGAATATTGTTATAACTTTTCGGGGAATTGTCCTATTTTTAATTTCGTGATTTTCTAACTAATCAATTGAATGTTTAATTTTCTAAATAATCAATTGAATGTTTAATTTTCTAAATCTCTCGGTTAAATCAATCCCCAATTAGTGCTTAATAATTCCTTAAGTTCTTCAATTTTTTAATTGAATAATCCTTTCTCGGAGCAACGCGAGTCCATCAGAAAATTCGATATGTAAAGATATGGACAAAGAGTATCGAGCTAAAAGAAGACTATGCTGAAAAATAAAACCCATTTTGCCCAAGGATATAAGTGCTTCATCGTCAGACTCGAAATTCATCCGCTCAAATGGCCGTCGTATAATTTATACGATGCAGAAAGGACGAGGAAAAATCGACGCCAGGACCTTACTCGGGCGATCGTCTAAAAAATTTTATCCAGATAACCGTTTCTTCGCGGAAACGATGGAGCGGCGCATGCATCGCTCGCTGAAAGTGATTCCTCAGATATATTCGTCTCATCGGCGCGTGAGACGCGCGTTCCGAAAACACGCAATTTATGAACAGCGTCATCGAGCGAGAGAAATTAATTCGCGATACGCGACGATCCATCCGCGTCCAGGATTTATCGCCTCGTCTTCCGAGAAGTCGTAACTCTTCAGCTCCGTTCTTCCTTTCCCGTCGTGCAATCGATATCCGCCCACGCGTCTTCGATCAACTTTAATCCCCCGGTAATCCCGTAAATTCGGATCAGAGCCGTCTACTTTGGCGTCTCCGGCGCCGCGCCTGCGGATGTTGACTTTGGTGTGTGGCGACTGTCGGCTCCTCCGCTCATCTTCCCTTTGCGCAAATACTGCTACTCGTAAAAGTTATCGCGGCTCGTTCATCCTTCCGAGAAGGACGCTCGAACTTTCTCTCTAGGAGAGCCGGAGAGCCTCGCTCCTGTCGTCCTAATCGTCCTGCAATATCCACTCCTGCGGCGATCCTATACGCGTGATACGCCTTATCGCTGTCCCGCGCCAGAAGGATGCCAGAAGAAAAGGACGATGAAAGGACTCTTTTTCTCTCTGGTTATCTAAAGCGACGAGACGCTCGAGGAGTTCTAGGATGAAGGAAGCGCACTAATTAATCAAGCCGCTTTTGCACTCAGAAATTTCAGAAAGGGACACATACGTGCAGGCACACTGCAACGTTCTTTCACCCAAAAAAAAGTATTCTATTTGTAAAGTGATTTTTCCCAGAGTCTCATATTTCAAGCGAAGTCTTTTACAAAAAAAAAGGATTCTTCTTCCGATAAAGCGATTAAAGTGAATCATTCATCTAAAATTTATTAGATATTGTTCTATTTTCCTTTTATTTCAAGAGGATTTCCTCTTACATCAATTAATTCTTCTCTTATATGAAGAGGAATATGTTGATTTGAATGTCGACTTTTTTTGTTTAGTCATGCTCTACTTCCAGACATGAACGAAAAAATAATCATATGCTCATGAATATTCGGAAAGCTTTTTGGAAAAGATATGTGTTGCTATAACATATAACGAAGATAACTTACCCATATTTGGTTGAATACAGTTTATAATCTATTGCAAGAAGTTGAATAATATATTCTTTCTTTTAACTATGTTTAACTTGTAATTAACTTAATTTATAATTAATAACTTAATTATAAATTACTTTAAATATTTAAATATATATTTTACTTTAATATTACAATATCAATATTCCCTTTCATATTAAAATCTTCCCTCATTACTTCCATGTTTAATAGTCATGTTAAATCTTTTAATGATTCGATTCGATTCGAATTCGAATTTAAAAAATGAGATTCGATTCGATTCGATATAAAAATTCTTGATTCGCACATCTCTAATATATATATATATATATATATATTACTTTTGCTATACATTATTATAATTTCTTTTCAAATTATCTCGAATAATCAGTAAGAATAAATAGTAATCTTAAACAAGATTAAATAATCTGTGTATAAGAGGAAACTTATATTAAAATCAATAAGATTTGTATCATATATACATCATATTTGTAACATAATCTCTCTAACTTTAAGAATAATGTATTTATAATATTTTCTTCTTCAATCTCAAAGGAATCCTCTTGAGGCCGTACACACGAATAAAATCCTCTAAAATTTAGATGATTCCGCTTGTTCTGAAATTACTTCTCTTTGGCTGTTAATTGTATTCGCGACTAGTTTGCATCACACCTTCGGTGTTTTAAGCGTCGCTCGTCTACCGTTGTTATTATTATTTTGCGGGAGGCGCGCTTTAATCAAGCGAGGTCAAATTTCATCGCGCGAGAGATAGCCGGCCGATTCCTTATCGGTCCGCTCGATAAGTCACGACAGGCTGACGGCGCAATATCGCGCCGCAGCGTGGAACGTCGCCGCGCCGTGCGTTCCGAGATAATGAAAGGTCATCAGCTACACGGGAGCCGCTCTCGCGAGTCTTTGTCCCTCGCTTTCAATTAAACCGCCATCCGGCCGATGAATCAATGGCCGACGGTCGTTCTACAATGAAACGCCTGCGCGCGGGCGGGAATATGGAATCGATTGGGCTGCCGACGTAACTCGACGGAAAGGTCGCTTGCAGCGCGGCCCGATCAAATTCGCGCCCGTTCCGTTCCGCGAGCGGCCGCAAACGGGTTTCCAGGCTGCCGGCGATTATTTGCAATTAAAAATACACGTCGCCCCTAAATCAGCGCCGTGCCGCGCCGGCGATCCGTCCCCTTTGATTCCTCATTTGCATCCTCGCGCCGAGAGCCGCCCGGCGGAAAGTCCGTGCTTTTAGGCGTGTTTGTTGACTTGTCCGCTTCTGAAGCAAGACGCGATACATAAGCTCGCCTCGCCTCGGGTTTGTTCTCTTCACGCTTTATCGACCTTCTTCAGCGGCCCGCTCCGACGCGACGTTCGCGTGACAGTCTCGACGCCCGCTAATAGCATTACCGGGATCTTCCGCGGAGCAGTTCGGTTCAACGAACGAATTTTCCGCCGTGAAGTAAAAATAAACAGATGAAATGAAGACGAGTAAAAAATAAATGAATAAGTAAGAAATGAGTCATCAGGATTTCCGCTAAATCGCTTCTCAATTAATGCTCAATAATTCTTGAAGTAGTGTTCTGTGGTTTTTCAATTGAATAATTGATCTTTAATTTGAACGGAATTCCGTTCTAGTCAGTTGAAATTTCCGAATCGTTGATACTTCACTCCCGAAAAATTCGACTCACTCAACCGAACATTTTTCTCCGTCGTTATCATTTCCCCGAACACGAATGGCTGAAGGTTCATTGCCAGATGGCGATCTCGATATCTGGTGCCAAGAAAAATTCCGGACTAATTCGGGAAATTCTGAGCGGAGCCGCCGCGAGCGAGCGACCGTCCGGGAAGTATCCTTCGCGCCTTGGATTTGTTATTCGTCGTCGATGAACCTCCACGTCTATCTGTTATTCGCTGTTTCTTCTCGGTATTTTAATGCCCGGCCTATCAGACAAGTGTTAACGAGGGGAAAATTAATGCATCTGTGAGATATATTAAGAGAGGATTAGCCATCGTCATCGAATGTTCATTTCAAGACCGATGTTAGGTCAATCTGATCACCACAGGTAAATCGAGGCGTTAATTAAAGCTTCATTAAAGCTTTAATTAACTTAATTAAAGCTGTAAAAATTTAAACGAAGTGACGACTTGCAGCTTGATGAAGCCAGGAGCCGAAAGACGAAATTAATTAATCGGATTGCGGCCGTACAGAAAGTTTCACTCAAACGAATTTCGAAAAGGGTCAGATTGACACTAATAACACACGTCCGATGAGGGTTAACGAGAAAAAGGGCAAATTCCCAAGCACGTGCGCGGCAGAACGAAGACGCAGTGCGCGTCAGTCGCGCGCCTGCGCGCGCGGTCGGGGCTTCATCTGGCGAACATTTACGGCGTTGCGTTTCCGCCTGGCGCGCATCCTGTATTTACGTTGCGACACGTATGCGCCAGCAGGACTTCCCAAAAGCGAACGCACTTTCGGTTGCAGGGGCGCAGTATGTGCCCGGCGCCGGGCCAAGCGCCGCAGCCCAAGGAAGGATCCGTAGTAGCTTCGAGTACGACAGCGCGTATCCACCAACGAGAGCCGACAGATACCGGGGAGGCCCGCAGATACAAAAGAGAATGACTCAGAGGGAGGACGTCCTCAAGTTCGAGCAGGGCCGCATCAAGGCCCTGCAGGAGGAACGCCTGCACATCCAGAAGAAGACGTTCACCAAATGGATCAACTCGTTCCTCTTGAAGGTAATGATGCCTGCCAGTTATAAAGTTCAGTGTATACTCTTGCTCGTCGTTTTGTATCTCAGGACGAGTCTGTTCGAATAGCGCAATGACATTCTCCGGAAATCCTAAGAACACCCAGAACGAACATTGCGGATATCCTGTGGATATCCCGGGATGTACTTTGGATGTCTTGAGGAAGAGAATATGATGGCTGAACGTATGATGGCCTTTAAGACATGCAGAGAATATCCTGTCCTGAGGACTTTTACGGGATATTTTTAGGTGTCTAAAGGGAAAGGAAAAAATATAGTGTATTGAATTGTGTCGAGTTGTATCTTTTCTGTTTGAATTATAAGGAGAAAAAGCACTTGATTCTAAATCGGAATTGGCAAGTTGAATACGCGAACAGTTTTAATTTCATTTTCAGGAACGAAAAATTGTTAAATCTTTTTAAATTTTAATCTCTTAGAATTCTAAAATCTGTTGACTCTAAAAGAAATCAAGCTATTAATGTATTCGATTTACTAAACCCAATTCAGGATCGAATCCAATGTTTTCTTCTCCTTATACAGGATGCCCAGGATTTTTTGGAAACGAAAAATTATGAAAATTAATCAGATCAAACTGAGAAGAAAAGTCAAGTACCATTTTGCAAAAATCGTAATAGTTATTAATGATTGAGAATGACCACATCTAGAGGCTTTTTTAATTGATAACTTGAAAATTTACGTACTTATTTGCAAAATGGTAAAGGACTTTTTTATTCACAATGACCTAACCTATAATTATATGACGGCTATTGTGTATAATAGCTGTCATATAATTATAGGTTAGGTCACTCTGAACGAAAAAGTCCTCTACCATTTTGCAGATAAATAAGCAAATTTTCAATCATAAATAACTTATTAACTATTGCGAATTTTGCAAAATGGTACATGACTTTCCTTCTCAGTTTTATCTGACTTCACAATTTTTCGCTTCCGAAAGATCCCAGACACTTTGTATTTACAATTTAAACGGGCAAGATAGAAAGTATAAATATCTCGAACGCAACTCGGAATCAGCAAATTCAATAGGCTATATTTTTACAATTTATCCTTGAAACATCTTTCGGAAGATTTTGTTACCTCATGCTATTTGAGACTAGCAGACATGCAGCGGCCATTATGAGAGATTTATATTTTATTACAGTAACATTCCGAAATTACTTTTCAAATATACACATGAAATTCTCATTCGAAATATTTAGAACAACACAACTAAATATCCTGAAAATATCCTGAAAATATCCCGAGATCGTCCTGGATATCGATCCAGGATGTCTTGGATACATTCAGGATCATCCTGAGATGGGCGAAGTTTTAATGGCGTCGAAAACGGACGTACGTCGCACATATTTTCAGGACGATTACTCAATTAGTTGGTAACTGGCAATTAGCTTTCGTCGTGTCAGAAGGAGGGGGGATAACGGCAGAGTTGAGGTTCTTTTCGAAATATTCCCACTGGCCTCCGACTTCAGTAAACATCACTCGAGTGACCCTGTAACAAGTACGACTCACTCCACTGCTATTATGATAATCAAAGGCCTGGGATAGAGTGAGCGGGCACTTGGACTTGCCTGGAGAGCCAGTCTTACGTCTCATAAATGATGCAAATTTTTATCGAAAGTTCCTTCCGCGACCAAAACGCGGTGTCCTGGGATAATGATATCCTCGCAACGCCGTCATCAAGCCACAAGTTGAGCACTCGGTGCGGTGTGCCGAAGCTCATCGCCGGATGAATTGCCCCTCACGCCGAAACTCGACCTGCTTTTTTCAGGCGCGCATGGAGGTGGACGATTTGTTCACCGACCTGGCGGACGGGAAGAAGCTGCTCAAGCTGCTGGAGATCATCTCCGGCGAGCGACTGGCCAAGCCCAACAACGGACGCATGCGAGTTCACAAAATCGAGAACGTGAACAAGTCCCTGGCGTTCCTCCACACCAAGGTAAGAGGTGTTCTCGTCTCTTTCTGTGCTTCTTCTTCTTCGTCTTCTTCTTCTTCTTTGCGTTTTTTCTCTCTCCCTCTTCCTTCTTCTTCCTTCCTTCCTTCTGCCTTTCCATGTCGCTCTTTCGAGGTCTCTCGAGTGTGTTTCCTCGGACATTGCTCACTCTCGAAAACCTCTCGAGAACGCAGGATCAGGCGACGCGCCGTCGTCGGTTGTGTGCGCTCGAAGCGCGAACAACTTTGTTCCTTCGGAGAGGGATAAATAAAGGAGCCCGAAAAAGCTGGCCGAGAGCGATGTCGAGTGCTCGATAAATTAGCGGGGCAACAAGCGAGCCCCGTTAAGCCCCGCTCGTAACTTTTCCGCCGGATTATAGGTCGCCGCCGCGACATCGCGCAGGTCTCTCCTCTCCTCTCGTTGCGACGGTCCTCGCGGTCTAACAAGGAAATATATAGTGGTGTCCTTTACACCGATTTCCATGGCTCTTAAATACGATAGAGCAACCGAAAATAAGAGGCGCGTATATTTCATACGCGCTCTTTTCTTCGGTGAAGAGGAAACTCGGCGGAATTGATGGTGAGCGAATGTCCTTCGTCAGTCATGTGAGAAGATATTTCAAAGAAGAGTTTTACAGCATCGATGCTCCTCATATGCCCCTGTATTTTTCGGTAACGTTTTTAATTCGTTTCAACGAATTGTGTGCGAGACACTTTTTTTATATTTTTTTGTAGCTTCACTTTTCAAAGCATAAATATTTTTTAAACCGAATTTTCTTAAAAATTAATTTCTTGTTATTTTTTTCTTTTTTGGTGCGTTGATCCTGAATTTGAGGTCAAAAATTAAAAATATTCAGGATTCAAGATGGCGGATTCGAAACAGCGAACCAAATTTGGCCGATGTTTGCGATTCAGATTCGAATGAAAATTAGTAGAAAATATTTTCTTTTTTTCTAAAAAATATGCCACTTTTTAAAATGTTGATTTCTAATAATTAAGCAGCAGTTTGAAGTCGTACGCGTTTCCCAACAATTGTCGAGCATCTAAGAACAACAAACTGGGCGTGATAAAATTAATGAGGACGATGAAGATACGAAGGGAAATAAACGGGACATTCATGTCCCATCAAAGGATTAGTCAACGATTAAGAAAAACAACTGACATTAGCATCAAATTAATCACGACGACAATCCGGATGAGACCCGTCGTTGATCTTTGCGCGTGCCGTAACGGGGGATATCCTTCGGCCGGTTAAATCCCACATCACCATTCTCTCACGATGGATCACGATCCATCAACGTGAGACCGAGTCTACAGGCAGATTGCCGGATTGGGGGCGCAGCGGGGGCGGTGATTGCGCGGGGATGGGTAAGCTGACGTGTGCGACGCGTGCGTCGCTTCCGGTAACACGGGAATCGGGGCCGTGTGTGGCTTCTGTCGATCTCTTCAGGTCGAACAGACCCGAACTGTGATGTCACGGATCCCCCCCCCGCAGGCACACGAGGGTAGATTGAAAAGTTCCTGACCTGCCTAAGAAGAAAACACTTCTTTGAGCTGAATGAAATTGATTTCGCAACAAAGTCTCCTTTCAACTCGATACACCTTCAGCGTGTCCACTGAAGGAGCAGCATCTCCACATACTGAATCTAATTCAGCTCCAGCTTCCGCAGGAGTCTTCCCTTTTAAACGAAGGAATTTTATCACGGCGCGATACTTCAATTTCTCCATCGTCGACAAACTGTAATTTTGAAAGGCTGTCGGAAATAAATGAAGCGCTGGAATGACATCAAACTTAGTTCTTCCACGCTCGTCTATTGAACAAGTATTGAAATTTCACTGAAATCCTGCTCTTTCTCGATTAGGTCGGAAACTTTTCAATCCACCCTCGTCCTCGCGGGAGCGACGACGTGTTTTCCGAGTAAGCAGAGCGTGCACCTGCGCCGCATTCGCGCGGAGTGACTCGCGGGTCAGCCGAGAGCTTATCCGTGGATTTCCGTGCGAGATAGGACGAAGTCGGACGCGCGATAACGGTTCTCGCGGCCTTGCCGCGTAGTTTTCAGCGCGGTTGTCGTCGTGAAGACGAAGCTGAAGCGAGGCGGTAGCGAGCGAGCGAGCGAAACGGTCCGCGCAGCGTCGCGTGCGCGGAATGTTACAGGCGTCGTTAATCACGCTAATTTCGCAGAAGGATCCGGCCGGCTGGCGATGCGAAGGAAAGGAGAAATTTCTCCAGCCGGAACGGCAGAGTCCCGAGATGCTGATCGCCGCGGAGCGGCGCGGCGCGTCGTGCGGATCGAGGGCGTTCCCGCGCGCGGAAACGTATTTCACGCAGCAGATAATTGTGACGCATATTGCCGTGCGAGCGAACGGTTAATGCCGTTTTCTTCCCTTTTCTTTTCTCTCTTTGCTTGCGGTGTCTCGCGGCGCGCTCGCGATACGACGGACGTCGTCAGGAAGTCGTGCGTTAAATCGCCGCGCGCGCGCGCGCGCGCACCGAAAAATCGGATTCATCGTAGCCGGCGCGTATTCGAGCGCGTGTGACCTCGAAAGGGATCATCCTCGAAGACGCTCGGAAACGCGCAGGTCCCGCGGATAATTGGACAGTGAAAGGATCGTAGTAAAGATCGTAGGGAAGTCGTTTTTCTAGTCGACAATGACGCGTCGCTGCCATTCGTCGTGGCTCGGAAGAGCGGGAGGATGCGGATACGATCGTTGGCAAAAGAAGCTCGAGAGAGAAAATTCCCTTGGCATGTGGAAAAAAAGGTTTGCTTGGGAGAGAAGGAATTTTGGAACGGTGGAGTATGAACGACACAGCTGAGCGGGAATCTTGACTGACTCGGAATCTCTGTGTCGTTTATACTACTACCGCGATCAAAAAGTATCCGAACTTTATTTTCTAAAAATCGCGAGTAAACTGTAAATCAAATCCGTTTACTTTTTTAAGTTGGTGCACATGTCCTTCACATTTAGTGAAAAAATCATGGCGTTCCTTCAAGCCGTTTGAAAGTGGCAGTTGTTTATGTCAGTGAAGATTGTGCACGGCGATTTTTACGATGTCGAAAAATATGGAGCAAAGATTTTGTTTGAAATTTTGTGTTGCGAACGAAATTTCGTTCACAAACGCATTCAAAATGTTGCAAAAAACTTATGATGATGATTGTCTGATGAAAACAAGTACGTTTGAGTGGTTTAAGAAGTTTCAAGAAGAACGAGAATCCGTTGAAGACGACCACGCTCTGGGAGACCATCAGTGTCAACGGATGACGCTCACATCGAGAAAGTGAAAAAAAAATTGCTGCTCCAAAATCGTCGGTTGACCGTGCGAGAGATAGCAGATGAAGTTGGAATATCATTTGGATCGCGCCAGCACACAATCCGTAAGAAACGACCGGAATTGTGGGAAAACAACTGGTGGATTTTGCATTACGACAACGCACCCGCCATCGCATGCCTCGACACTTGTGCGTGAATTTCTGACAAAAAGCTCAACGAATGTCGCTCCGCAAGTACCGTATTCACCAGACATGGCCCCCTGCGATTTTTTCCTGTTCCACCTACTGAAAAAACCACTTCGCGGACAGCGTTTTGAATCGATCGAGGATACCAAAGAAAAATCGCTGCGTGAATTGAAGGCCGTATCGTCTGCCGCGTATGAGCGATGTTTCCAGAACTGGATCAAACGCCTGACATATGTCGCCGTTGCAAGCAACGGCGACTGCTTTGAAGGAGACTATAAGAATTTTGATGATTGAATTGTAATTTTGACTTTTAAAAATAAAGTTCGGGTTCTTTTTGATCACAGTAGTAGGAGTGTGATTCAGTTTTGTAGATTTTGCCGTCGCGGGCGGGCGGAGGTTCGGTTTGCGCGAGCCGAGGAGGCCACCTCCTCGAATTATTTGCATGAGCTGGCCGCATAATTTCGGTGGGCGGAATGCGACTGCATCTGCGAGCAGCGATCCATGGCGTTTGGTAAATAATGCATGACGGCTTACCCCGGCGTGTCCTAACGTCTCGAAGACCATCCTGGTCGAGGACTGCCTTACGAGAGACGGCGCCGTTTTTGCGAAGCGTGAGAGTCGATCGCCGGCAACGGTACACCGCTTGCGAAACATTTTCACCGCTTCTCGTTTTCCCCCGTTTGGACAAGGGAAAAGTCGCGTTTGGCTGTGGAAGTGAGCGAGCGCGGTCGTCACTCTCGCCTTAACCGTCTCCCAGCGGCGGCAGCGCTCTTCAGTTGCTTGGAAGGACCAAAATTGGCGCTCCAGTAATTAATCGCAGGTCTCCAGTCGGTTTCGCAATGAGTTTCTCCCACGCTGTGTCCTCGCCTGCCTCGACTGCCGTCGTATTTTCCACGCGTTTTCCGACGCAGTCTCGTCGGTCAGATGTCTACGACGTGGAGGCTAATGTTTCGACATTAGCTCCGACAACCTTATCGAGACGAAAGCAAACACCGGAGATATCGCTCCTCGTGTCGTCGAGTTTTTGCCCGCTTCCTCCTCGGCCGCGGCGCTTAAAGGCTAATTTACACGGTGCTGCTTTCATTCGCTTCTTAATTCGCTGATAAAAACTTGGCCTGAACGCTCGATTTCTAATCGCCAGCGTCTGAAATTCGGTCGCTGCGACAAACTTGGACGTGTTGAACTTTGACCGCTGGACGCTAGCGAATAAAAATCCATCGTCTAGAAGAAGCTTTCGCCGGCAAATTAACTCTTTATATCCTGAATTAATTCCCCCCCGAGACCTTGCTCTCGGCTAAATAACTTTCGGCATATTATAAACATAAGGAATAGGAAAATACGTACCATTTACGATTTAATAATTTCAAGATGCTGCTTATAAGCACTAAAATAAAACAGATAAAAGTAAAATAAAATAAAAAAAAATTTGAAAACACATATGAGCGTTTATACAGAGCGGTGCTTTCAATACCGTCGGGATACAAAAGACATCACGAAGCTTGCTCAAGCGAATAAAAGCAGTACCGTGCGAATCACCCTTCGATCCTAGACG